GAAAGATATTAATTTTAACAGAAGGATGGATATTTTGCAGAAGCTGAAACATTATAATTACCTTACTGTTCCTGTATCTAGAAGTTGTATGAGGACCAATGAGTTGCCATGTGACGAATGAAGTCCTAAACGTTGCGGGCCACGTGTTCCACCTTAATTATGTTCTTTTTGGGAATTATATACAGGATAAACAAAGAGCACATCGGACAAATATCTACTCCCAGCTGAAAATATAAATTTCGGGGTGATTTACAAAGTACGAAATCAAATTACTGCTAACGATTTAATATGGCCTGGATTTTGCCCACGATTTGGCAAAAGCTAAAATGGTAATTTTTAATAAATGTATTTATAACTTCCGTTCAGTTTTACAAGTTGTTGGTAGGCGTATTGCTAACGAAACTCACCTCGACATTCTTATGGGCATTGTGTATTATTTATTGTAAATACTTCAGCTGTTTCGATTTACTGTGACAAAGTTAATATCCTGTAAGCGATTACAGGCTGATGTTAGGATCCTTTTTAATCAACAGACCAGGAATTCGCCTTAAAGATTTACATTTAATTTTGAATAACGAATAATTCTAATTTAAAGCGGGTCATCAGTAACTGACAATTTATATTAAATAATGGAAAATGACACATAAACATTTTTTTAAACCTTATATTTATAGACCATTCATATATCCAAAATAAATTACAATAGCTACAATTACAAATTTGGCATAATTAGGAATATATAGGGTGAACGAACTAAATTATCTCATATTACCTCACTTCGCAATTACTGTTTTTTCAGTATATGCCATTGTTCCTTGTGAGAGCTGACTAGATCAAGTCCACTTTTGCTAACTTAACAATTAAAAAAAATATTTGCAAACTTTTATTAAACACAAATATTCGAATGTCAGAAATATCACGCTTCGGTGGAATCCATCTTATTTAGAGAGGTTTTCTTCACTATTTGTCTCGGAAAAATAAATTGCTAAACTAAAAACAAAATTAACATACAAAACATGTCAACTATGGTAAATATAATAAGCTGCATCATTTTTTGTCTTCATGATTGGCGTTGGGAAATATTTTACTGATAAGTTGAAAATTTTAAATAAACTTTCAGCTTTTAACAGAACCAAAAGCAAGTGCGTAGTTCCATATCAAAACACAAACTTTCGAATGTAACTGTTTTTAGAAAGAAATTTAGGATTAAACGGCATTATTATTTTCTTTGTGGATATTCTACACAAATATACGACGTCTGATATACCTACAGATTAAAGCAACTAATTAATATGTTAGTTATCAGGTAACGGATAATAACCTTACATTCATGATATTATCAAGTAAATGTAATTAATTAGGACTAATGGTATTGACATGTATGGTATTAGTTTACTTTTAAAAGTTAAATACATTTTTACGATTTAATTAAAAACAAAAATGTTTCAATACTTTGGCTGGTTTTTGGTACATTGTCTGAATAGGGAAACATAATTGCTATTTTGAAACCGGGCTCCAACATCTCATCAGTCGACTTAAAAAACTCCTTCGGAAATGAGCTTAAGAGAACTATTGGCGATGCACCTAACATAAATCAATCAGGCGCTGAATAAAGTTTGGTAAGTATAACTGCTTAATCTACACGATCCATATAAAAAATGGTATACCGTGATAGCTGTAGGTGATATGTACAGATTTACAAGTGATATTAGATAACGATGATATTAGGTCAGGAATGAATATTATATTTAAATAGCTATTGACAAGATATGGAACATCTAAGTCTCGTTTCATCAACCATTTTACATAATAATAAAATAGATTATCAGCATGTGGGTGAAGGGTCTAAATCCTCAATTCCCAGTTGAAGTTAAATGAAATGATGTTTGGCGTTTAGCTTATTGAATGCGTTTCTTTGCGCTAAACAAATGTTGCTTGTCTGGAACAGTAACGACGCAAGTACAAGTTGATGCTACTGTTACTACGAGAGACTTAATTTGTGTTTTCAGATGCTAGTAGGTATTTTGAAAAACTTGTAAATTATGTCGAAATTATGTAAAAAAAAACTTTGTCGGAACTGTTCCCTATGGTATGGAGGCCATTAAAGGGCAGTAAAATAAAAAGCTGCTTGCATGAAGCGCAAAATCTATAATTTTGGGAAACCTAGCACGCCTTCAATTTCATCATTTGTTTTTATTGTCATTAAACAATAGTAACGCCTAAAGTTCGAAACGTGAATATCAATATTTGATCAAAATAATATCAAATTCGACAAATCAGATTTGCCTGATGTTGCTATGTTTTATTCGACTGGGCTTTCAAAGTACACGCAGTAGATGTTACATGAATCCTTACAGTCATCACACGATTTAAGCATTGAAACCGCAAAACTATTCATCTAGGATAAAATGTTGAGAACGGTTGTTGCAACAGCCGCTTTGCTGCGGGATTTTGGCGCAGTTAAACGGTTTTTACCCACACGACAGTCTCCAAAAGGGGCCGGTTTGAGCCGGAATTGCAGTGATTTCCACGGGTTCATTTTGAAAATTTCTAATAATTATTATTTTCTGTATTCATCAGAATCCCAAATTATATCCTTAATAATCTTGAATATGCCATGATGCCTGATATAAAAGAGCTGTAAGCATGTGTACTATTTTAAAGTTATTCGTACACTAGTTACTTTGGTTAGCCCAAATAATTTTTCTCCACCAAATTGAACGTGAAGTATTAAATTTTTCATTTAAGCGAAAGGTCTAAGATAGGCATTCTCATGAGTCAGTGCCACATAAGCGAACCAAAATTATAAAAGTTATCAAATTTGCGACTAGATTTATAATTGGTGACTACACGAGATGAATACAAAGGAAGAGACGTACTCGTATTTAAATAATAAATCACCCAAAACGCTAAACATTTTCGCCTGTTATTCATCTATTAATGAAGGAGAAAAAATAATATATTAAACGAATACGAAACGAACTCGTAAATTTTTGAAATTGCCCACAGACCTGAGAGAGTATAAAACTTTTCTCGAGGAGTCGTCCTTACTTCCCAAGTAGTTAATTATTAAACACCAAATTATTATTTTACAAATCAGAATAAGAGTGGCAAACTGCTGGAGGAAAAGTTGCTAAGCATTCTGTTTTCCTTTGATGTTCGTCACCTTAAAGGCTTCTGGAGGTAATTTTATATAGGTTCTTCTAGAAAATAGATCAAATATTATGAACAACCAGCACGAAAACTCAAATCACTGGTAAATTGTCGAAGCAGAAAGTACAGTTATAGCAAGTAAAAATCAGCGGTTCAAAAAAAATAGTTGGCTGTTCAAATTCACTTTATTATTGGAAAGCCTTCGCGTTCAACGGATAATTTACAGGGGAATACATATTTGCCCTAGTGACTGTATGCAAGCAATAGATTAAGGGCACGGGTTATCGGCTTGTTCGATAACCGTTAAAGCTTGCTGCAATACAGCGAAGAAACAAGTTATTTATTTTATTTCACGTGGCCGGAAACGAGACTTACTACAATTTCTAAGCTGTATAATTTACAGATATGAAATATCACAAAATAGAAGTATAATTCTATAATTATGAAAACAATGATAATTAATCGCTGTCTGATAGTGATTTCTCTTCGTGGTCAATTTGTAGGTAATATAGATAATATCTACAACTAGATTTATTAGTGGGTAACTGGGAGATAGTCATCAATAGTGTTTCGTGCCTTTAATTTAGATTTTTGTACACCTGTAGTATCGGAAGAAAATAATTTATTCCCAAGTGGCTTTTTTGACAAGCATAATAAATGGATTTTGGAAATCCAACAATTTCCTAACAATCATTCTCAAAAATATAGGGATGACCAAATTTTATTTTAAACCTGATCGTCAAAATTTCGTCAACTTTAAGATATTTATGGATTTTAGAATTTTGGCAATGAGAAATTCTGTTGATCTATTCTGACCTGTATTTGGTTGTTTGTAATTGTCGCCGTCAGATTGAAAATATTTAATCTCCGAAAACTAAAAATATTCCCAATCATATATGGAGAACGATTTTTTTTAAAATCGACATGTCAATCTGCTTGAGTTTAGAAAAACTTGAAGAAAGCGTACTTTATAGGGACTACTTCCGTTGCTGAACGAAATACCATTACCTCAACAGGTTTATAATAACACGTTTAGCCTGCAGGTACCACCGTTCAACTAATTAATTAAACTCTTTTACTTAATGGTAAAATGTAAATTTATGCTTTCAGAAGTGGGTGCTAAAAACTTCAGTTCAAATTATGAATATTCTGCGCGGCAACCAAAGTTGCAACTGCTTCAATTTGAGACCAAATGCCCATGTTTCTCTTACCAAAAGAGGTCACATCGTTTTAGTTGCAGTTTTGTTTCTTAATTTTGTATACTTGCTCAGAGATACGTGAAGGTACATGTAGATGAGAGCATCGGTATAGGTCATAACGGAAATAAGGCTGCCATCGAATATAAAACAGTGTCTCAAAAGATCCACTGAAAAAATAAGCAATACATGTTTATTTCATGACCTGATTCTGCCTTTCTAATTTAATCTGCATGTTTTCTTGCTTTTGATATATTAATATTTTATTTCGCATGCAGAAATATTGCCTCTTTGATATTTACTGCTTCTTCTGGCTCACGCCTAGCAACTTGAAAGCAACGTGGGGGTAAGTAATGTCGGGAAAAAGAAACATGAAACCCACAACGTGATCTCCTTAATACAATTCACCCACTGCTTGACAAAAGGTTCTAAATGCATTGTAGGGAAAATCCCACACCCAGAATTTCGATTACGGGTATTTTAATGCAGTTAGAGGTATTTTCCTGTTTTCTAGAATATGTTAGAATATATTACATCTTTTAAGAACGGTAACTGCTGTGAAATGACGAAACAGTTGGAGTTAATGTTTTTGTTCATTTCGCCCTTGTTAAAGATATATGGTTTATTACCTGAAATTCGTTAAGAGTTTGCTTCATGACGTGATCAATTTTATTAAGTTATAATCCAGAGGTAACGGAATTTCCGCATAAAATCTGTCCCATGGGAAATCAGTATTCTGACAGCGAGTTTCTGCATCTGATCCTTATTTATTATTTACATCACGACGTAGTCGTTAAAGCTGAAGTCATTATCGCTATTAACAAGCTGCACTGCAGCAGGAACGATGAACTAGAGCTTCTCGAAGAGTTAGCGTGTTGCATCGCTGCCGGCTTTTCTTCTGGAAACAACAGAAACTTTCGTTAATGCAGAGCCGCAAGTGTACTACCCCTAATTTAATTCTTTTCAACGTAATATCAAATCAATTTTGCATTTGCTGCAATATTATTATTAAATTATATGATTATTATACAATAAGGGTTCAAATTTACTGGTAATAAATTGGCCAACCACATATCCATTACGAAATATTTGCGATGAATTAGTGCTGGATGAATCGGACATCAGTTTCTTTAGGATTTCCCTTTTAAATTTTAAATCTCAGAATGTAAGGTCCAAACATCTCAACAGTTTTGAATAGAACGGTGTCGCGCATGTTGCCGAAGTTTCCAGCAAAAATCTGAAGATTTGTATATCTCTTATGATGTCTCTTTACACAGCCTCAAAACGGAAAAGGAGATTTCCTTTGTAGAAATATATCCATAGCATGGATTGAGTGTCGTGACGACAATTATTTTTATGGTATTTCTATTATTTAGCTGTCGGCTTGATAGTATTCCATAGGTGTTTAATTTAATACAAACCAACTATATGGCGCAGTTAATTTTTTCTGGAAACCACTGACAAAATATAGACGAAAGGCAGCACTTCCAGGCTGCTGTGTATGATATTCAACAGCAAACTCTGATCAATTTGTACACGACAATTTCGATTCACAGGAAAGTATTTATCTTATTGAATTGAATGTACATTAGTCAATTTTACCTATACTCATAAGAAAGTGCCACCGTAAGTATTGTGAAAATATTGTTGAGTCCGCGTGAATGGGCTGACATAAATACATACTGCTGAAAAGAAGTATAAAAGGTTCCCTTTTGTATTCAATAATATGTCTGAATTTGCCGTTGAATTTTATTGTAGAGAATCAGCAGGAATATTTATGGAGAATGGAGTTGAGCACGGGGGTATCTCAATTCCCTTGGGAACCCGTAAATAGTAGTAACTGTAATTCGACTTTAAAATATTTTTCGCATTGAATGCAACCACTTGAAGGGCTTTAGCAGTTCACAATACGTTATAGGACTCGTAAATCGATAAGTTGATTGAATTTTATGTGCCAAAGTTTGAAGTATAGAGCATAGCGAGTTTCCACAAGCTTATTGGCTAGAAAGTTCAAAAATAGTAGTTTAAAGGTTGATAATGTTTAGAAATAATACATATCAATAAAGCGATTTGAGAATTTATAATCAAGCTAGACTAAATTAAAAAGGAAGATATAATGATGCAACGCATAAAAAATCAAGTATAAAATAATATGTAAATAAGAAACCGGCTTGTGGGCAGGTACCTCAACACTTCGACAACAATTTTAAAGGAAGAGTACCAGCGGTTTGTTTTCTCAGTTGTTCAAATTATTATAAATTTCCTTACATTGCCATAACCCGGTGGATTAGATTTCGTCACTGTGCTTTAATGGGAGAAATATAGACCATCAAAATATGTACATATACATGTGAGAAATGGTACAAAAACATCGGGCGCAAAATGGTATGGATAGCAAAAATAAACCAATACTATTCCAATAAGCATCACAAGACGTTATTTAAGTGTTACCACTACAGAAACTTGATCGCATGAGTAAAATACGTCACCCTTTTTCAATGAACTTAACAATTCAACGTTTACTAACAATCCTGGATTGCTGGGTCAATAAGTAATGGTAAAGGTGACGGTAATTATCATTAAATAATGATTGCAAGGTCAGCAGAATTGAGCACGATTTTCATATATAATCGCAGTTATATCGTGTTAGTGTCCAAACGTGTCCGATTATTTCATATCTGCAGAACAAACCTAATTTTTTTTTTATTCTCTAAAGCTTACAGGAAAACCCTGCAGTATTTAGGGTGACAACCAGATTGTCCGTAAGTATACATTGTAGGCAAGATGCCGGATTTTGCCTGACCAATGAACCAAGATAGAACTCACTTCCATAGGCCTTTTGCCAATCAATTAGGCTAACAAAGCTTAAGACCCGCGTATATAGAGATTGCATAGAGGAAGCAGATTTATTGGCGAGCTGTTGCTATTTTCGGCAAATTGGGTGTGCTGTGATTTACTTAGGTCCCACAAGATAAGGTCTCAAGCAGAGAGGACTTTAATATTCTCCTGTCCTAATTAAATATTAGTTAATCAAAACAACGAATTTCGTGGATTGAATTCAACCCATGCGAATCATTAATTAGTCAAACAGCGGGTTTTCTATTAGAAATTTGATAGAATAACTTTCCAACATATACTAGGAATTTTTCCGAATTTATAAGTTTGCATTTTAAGGAACCTTATTTTAATATGACTACGAGTTTAAAAACCATATTAATTTGATCTGTATGGTTAAGCCACTTTTGCTGATTTCTGCAAATAATTAAATATTCCAGTCAGTTCACAGTCGTTAAATATCTTGCAAATAAATTTTGGCTTATTATTGTTACGACAATTTGGGTGTAATGTAAGTTCCAAAGCACTTTTATGTTCCCCCTTTTAAAATAAATATTTACAGGCCATATCAGCAAAATTAAGAATATCTGAACAAAAATTAATAGTTTAAAAAATTAACTCCAAATTTGAAACAAAAAGAATATGCTGGGAACGAGAGAAACGTTTCAAGAATGAGAAGAAATTTAGTAAACAGCTGGAAAGGAAATTGCTGGTAATCTCCTCAATGGAAAAGAAAAAATTAAAACACTATAAAATTGTAGAACAAAATCGGAAAAAATTTTGCTTATTAAAGACAGGTAGTAAAAGAACTCCTAATCAAATTTCTGGAATAAAACAAGCTCAATTTTATAAAATTGGCTCATCTTTTTCTAACACTTCTTCAAGCAGCAATTTTATTTATTTTACTGTTTGAGCAACATATTTGCAGCGTTCGTGGCTGTTATATGTAATTATATGTAAGTTATTATGCGTCGCTGACATACTTCCTACTGACATCCTTTCAATTTAAATTTTCCCTTTACTGATACACTTAATAATTATCCGACCCTTCGTAAGACCACGTTTTACCATAATTTGTAATTTCAATCTTCTCTAACGTTTCTGGCAAAATATTTTCGAAACGGATTTTATTTACATGTTATAAATATTAAAATAAATGCTGCTGAGATTGCCATTTTCGGTAGGGGATTTGTTTTTGTGAATCTTTATTTGCCGGAATAATATTCTTTGTTTATTATCACAAGGAACGAGATGGAAACGCAGGATGCAAAAAATCCAAACGCTGATTTTCAAACGCAGACCTAAAGGAAAATAATGAATAATGTATAAATGAAGCGGGTGATTGTAAATACTCCTATCTTTTCCGCCATTTGTTTTTATGACAAATTTAATTAGACATTTAAAATATGAACATAAGTAGATCATTTACCTGAACATTTTATAGGATTTAATAATAAATTAATTATTTGTACAGTTGATATCAATAACGACCATTATTCTTTAGATAACTGTTTTCATAATGCTGCCTTTTTAGTAGTAGTTGCCTATGTGAAGGTGAACCTATTTGAAATAATTTGCGAAATAATCACAAACTTTAGGTTGTACGTTTCTTATGTGCCCTTGTAATTTGTTTAAATTGTTAATTTCAATTAGCTACTCTACTCCCTTGCTATCAATTGTTCGTCATTCACTGCTGACTCGAATATCATGAATTTTAACATAATCAATATTTTGATTATTTTTAGAATGACAATAATTTATTTAGTAAAAAGTAGTTTGTGTCCTCATTTGTTTGTGTTCTACTAGACACTTGTTCAAAATTACTTGAAAATCTGTATAAAAGTAATTCATATGCCGGATACTTCTGTATTAAGAGCATAAACTACAAGCTTGAGTACTTAGACTCATGTAATCACGTACATTTCTCTCCTGCAGACAATTCAAAGCTTTAATACCAGTTTTCAAAATGTATGTAGGGCGAAAGAGCACCTAAGCAGTTTTATTCAGGCAGTTAAATTAATTTTAATATGAGTTTAACGAATGAACAGCATCATCTGTAATGATAATGCTTTTACAAAACACATTTATAAAAGGCAACGTGGGTGTATTTGCTTAACCTAATAATTGATCACGATAATACAAAATATGGTTATACAAAATTGATTAATTATTAGCTTACGACATTAAAAAAAAATATATATTTTTTTTTATTATGTCAGACAAGGCAAATAAAAGCAAGTAAACTAAATGTGGTAATACAGGAAATTCCACATCAATTTTCTAGAGTCTAGAGTATGGCGAAGCGTATAAGTCCAATATAAACTTTACAGCTCTCCCATGGATTGCTATGTTACGCTAATATAATCTCTAATGGATGCCATATATTGTACAGCAACGGCTTCATTTATTTAAGTGTTAAGCTATTACGTTAAAAATCTACTTGCTAATCCAAAGAGCATACTTTAACTTTGAATGACTGCTTGGCATTACACTTTACAGCTTTAACGCGCCTTCAGATATTGCTGCACATTACTTGTATTAGAAAAGCTTGTGCTCTGGTTCTTCGTCTAACCGAAACAATACAATATAAAGTTGGAAAAATATTTTTAATTAGTCCGAAGGTGTTCAAGCGAATTGATTCTAATAGTTAGTCACAAAGCCAGCAGTCGTGTATAGAGAGGGCTGTTTCCATTAACTCGTTGAATGTGAAAATTGATGCTGCAGATGTAAAGAATACAACAGATTGAGAAGAGGAGTGAATGTTAAAAATAAGACAATGAATCAAGGAAGAAGCTAGACAGAAGCGTAGAAAAGTTAATATCGTTGGTGTTTATAGCCGGAAATTTACAGAATATAGAGGAAACACTTTGAGCAAATATATCAGGATGGATCCAAATATTTCCAAAGGAGTTGATCAAGAAAATAAGAAAAGCTTTGAAAATCAAAAATAAAAGMGTAAGTTCTTAAAATCGATTTTTTATAAATTCAATAACATAATAGTWGCAGATTTAATTGATAAAAATGAAATAAAAATACACTSTTTAAATTTAGCTTAAAGAATTCATAACAATTCATAAAGTTAACACACTAGTTACTTGCGAAATTCAGCTAAAGAAAAACGACTCAAAAGTTTTTWCAAGGTTCAGTTTATTAGTTTAAAAAAGATGGTATGGGTAGCAAAGTAAGGACCAATACCAGAGGTAAAATTACAGAGACTCATAGAGGAAATGCACATGGAAATAGCCAAATATAATGAAATATGAATATGGTTAATAAGAAATGTCACGCTATCAACGCAAAGAAAACAAATTCGATATACATTAATCGAAAAACGTATGCTTTAGCGGGTAACGAAGCGATTCCGGACATATAAAGGACAGTTTCTATCAAAAATTCGAGGCAAAAAAGACTGCTACATAAACTATGCCACTACTACATGTACTCGCTTGCATTTGCATTTTCAAGAATATTTCTGATTAAGCATGCAAACAAAATTAGTTTGCCGTCATTATACTTATTATACCTCAAACGAACTTCATCGACTTCAAGCATTGTTTTTTAGAATAAATTATATAGCATATGTGCTTTCCATGAGTTGGAATTTCCCAATCACATAAAAAACGGTCGTACGTTCGAACAAAGTTGGGAGTTTGGAATATTTTGTTTGCTTGGTGTTAAAATTTATTGACGGCATGTAACCATAAGTTCTGGCAGAGGCCCTGAGCAATCTAAACAAATTACAATAGTATCGATCTTCCCATGTTGGCCATGCAGGTTTAAACTAAGGGGCCAGTCCATCAGATTAAATGCGGTGTCGTAAATTATTTGTGTAATACTCTTTTCATTACTAACACGATCTTTATTAAATTTACTCTTTATTTAATGTAACTCTGATTTTAATGTATTAGACAGTATATTCATATTCATATATATTGCATATATATTCATATATACTGTCTATATATTCATTCAGAATATTGATATATACTGTCTAATATATGTCTATTGTATAAATAACCACAATGTGGACACCACCCAAAGATAAAAATGAATCTAAGTTCCTCAATACCACAAATTTGGCTTGTAGTCAAATGATACATACACTGTAAATCCAGTCCATACACTAGTCCAATTGTAAATCCAAGAAAAATAATTTCAAAATTTCGTGATGGTGTATGTATCAAACTATACACTAGTAAACTTAATTAGTAGCCTTTTACTCGAAGGCGGTTAAATATACGGATGCATTATACTTCAAATTTATTATACTTATATCAAATGTGAGTGAATGAAAATAACGACCAAGCAATTGCGTCATTATATCCAGATTTGTAGTGTCGAAACAATTAGAACGCCCGAATATTAATAAAAAAGATTGCAGGTCAATAACTATATAATTATACGACCAACCCTCAGCAAAATCATTAGGGAAGCGGAGGTAATTAATTAACCAGAGCTTATTGATTACGATATTTATATCCAAGTATAAATACATGCCAGAAAAAGTGCTTGCTGTCTACAAAGCTGTAGTTTTAAAATAAAAAGCAATCTATGCTTGTGCATATAGCAATTCCCCGTAATAGACATTGCACATGCCAAAAGAAAGCTGTTTATAAAATATTAACAATTGCTTGCATTTCCATTTCCCCATTTCCCAAAGAGAACATGCCTCTAAAATTGAAATGGTGCTGTTTTATGTGGAGATGGTACATGTACGTATATTATTGAAGCGTTTGCATTCAGCAGATAGAAAACCCGACGCCTTCTTGCTAACTGCTGCGCTTGTTTTACATCATTTTTCTTTCAAACGTGCATTCTGATTATATTAGCGAGTCGTAACGTCATAAATTAGGCTTTTACGACATGCAGAAGGCAAATAGATTAATTACGGAAGCTTTAGCTAAAGCTCATACTTATGGCATTAAGCAAAAAAGGTGCTAATACACGTTGCTTACAAGTTTTTGATTTCACTGAGTCGTTACTATATATTCATCATTTACATTACAAATGTCACTATTTATAATTAAGTAATTGAGTGTAAGTACAATGATACTGCTTCTTTTGAGAACTTTACTAATAAACCATTGGCAATATTGCAAAGAACTATTCTAATGACGATCTATATTTTTTGGGCATTTTATTTTATTTATGTAGTTTGGGAAAATATATTCATTGTCGATGCAATTCCATTTCAATATAGATGTTCTACTATACTTAGTTACTAGACTGCCTTTAATTTCCTCATTTTTGAAATTAACTCATAATAAGTATTAATATCCCTTTAATTTTTGTGTTACCAATTATTATTGTTTTTATAATATAGCAAGAGCATATTTTCAGAAGTACCTAATGTTAAAGTTAATTGATATTAAGAAGATGAATAATTTTTAAACTGCGTACAGCAACAAGAGTTTATCAAATCAATTAAGTTTTTAATTGTACAACATAGTTATTTATGATTTATTGCCATCGAAAGTACAATTGACTTTAGAATAATTCCGAAACTCAGTTCAATCAACATGTATTTTGGCACTTCAGTAAGTACTTTAAAAATACGTTAACTAGTGGTTAATATCATACCTTTCACAGTTTTGTACCTGTATCGAACAAGGGAATGTAATCCATAAAATGTATTAAGTTAATAAAAGAAAATATTTTTTTACAAAATTACCTCGAAGAGTTCACACTACGACATGCCTATGTATTAATAACGAACGAATTATCCGAATTCCAAATAATTATCCAGGGTTTGTGGTATGTTATGTAAGTTTTGTCGCTGAAATCTTCAAACATTTCTGATGATTTCAATAGAGATTTTGCTATTTAAGCAACAGACACTTCTTAATAATATTTCATATTAAATGAGCGCCTAAACGTTAAAAAAGCGAAACCAATGTTTCCTGAAAAAGAATGAAAAATATCTGTATTCAGTTCAAGCTGAGTTCAAAATTATAATTTCACCAAATAAATTTATTATGTCCATCTCAGAAAATCACTTTTAAACAAGCTGAATGAGTAATATATTGGGCATCATGAAAAATAAATATTTACTGATTTCACTGTTCTAATAACAATGTTACTGAATAAATCATAATTTTTTGACCAAGGTTCAGTTCAAGACGAGATCGATTTCAGATCTGAAATCGAACGTACCACACTTCCCAACCAGCAGCTTTGCAGAGTACTTTTTAAAATTCCTCTACTGACGCATTTTTTATAAATAAAAGTACTTACCCGCAGTTGCATTTAAGACATGGACATTGATGGAAGCTGGAACTGCATTACTAGGACTACAAGTGTAGTTTCCGTTATGACTTTTATCCGCATCTTGCAGATGTAGTATGCTAGAGCTTCTGCTTTCCACCACAGAAATTCCCTGATCATAGTTGATCATTCTCTGTTCATGGAACCAGAAGACAAAAGCAGGAGGTTCTGTAGAATGTTTTAAAGTGCAGACAAGTCTTAGCAGAGAACCTGCTCGGATGTAGAGTTCTGGAGCTCCCTGTATTTCCGCTTGCGCCTCTGAAAACAAATTAATTGTTCACATTTCAGTCTATACGGATATCTATGATGTCGAAATATGATTCCTCCATATTTAGATTAAAATTAGTTCGTTTACATAAGTTTGAAAATCACCAAAGACTATGCTACAATATGAATTAATCAACACATATTTATTGAAATCAAGTTCAAGATACTCAATCTCCTGCAAACAGAGCACCCCCATAATAATGTTTGACGGCTATGCCTAAAATATGTCTTCTATTTGGTTTAATTTGGCTAGTTTATAAACCCCAAGACTAAAGAATTTGAGAACTTGCTTGGAGAGTTTGGTACTACTACAACCGGCGTTTTCAAGGCAGCTCGTTCAAATTTTCAAATTACCATGGTGAGCGTTAATATCCGTTAACTGGTGAGAACTCAAAGAACAAGATTGACCACACCACCCAACATGAATCATGTAACACCCCACCTAAATATATGAGATTCAGCGCTTTGCTATTATCTTATTATTCAATATTTTTCCAAAAATAGTTTACTTTGTATGTAGTAAGTAACTCACATAAAGTTATCCTAAACTAGCTTACATTTCCATTTTCCAAATTGAAATTAAAATTTGGTTATTATCATTAACATGTACTGAATCCGAAAGTTCAAACGAGAACATGGTTATCTACTTTGTGCTCTCTGCTTTATTATGCCACCACATATTAAACCATATGCAAATAAAATGTTTAATAAGCAGTGTAAATGGCAATAAAAATGCATGGCCATAACGGCAATAACAAAATGAATTTGCCCAGTAATTTATACGGAAACTTTGCCAAATATAGTTGTTCCGTTGTGATGAAAATTTGAAGCATTTGTTGCACGTTATTTCAGTAATATATTTTTTGCATGGAACGAGATATGAATAATGATCATTGATTAAAATTGGACTAAAATGTTTCATTTTGAATTTAATAATATTTATTTGTATTCTGAGGTTTAAATTTATAACGTTACCAATAATATCCATTATGTGTGCAGGCATAATAATGAGAGGTATGAAGCAAATGGTTTGCAGTAAATCATATAAATAAAATAACAATATTTTCGTAAATACATTTACCAATCAAAATTTTTTCAAACCAGCGTGAAAAAAAATGTTGAAATTAATTGAATTGAAATAAATTTCGGCATACTTAGCCTCAAGCGAGAAGAAATATAGGGCTATTTCATAAGAGAAATTTAAAATAACAAATTTGATGAACACTGAAATGTTACTTTGGCGTTTTGACAACGAATTTTCTATCGTTTATCTATAATATAGGTAAATCAAAAAGAAATTACAGATTGAAAGAAAACGTTTTTATTACCAGTTCATCATAAATTAAGTGAGGAAATATTCGCGTGTTCGAACAATGTTAAATTTGGTGCCAAGTACCTTAATAAAGCTATTGTAAAATTAACCGGTAGTGGTATTACAGTAGATTTAGTGTTTAATTTGTAACTAGGAATAGTAAGTTGAAAGTTTTCAAAAAGGGTCTTTAAAATAATTTAACAATTAAATAAACAAATGTCGACAATATGTTGATTGCTCAAAGCCATAAGACATTCAAATTTTTGAGTGGGTGAATTTATTGAAATCCTGCTCAACGTGCTTATTAAATTACACTAAAATTGGTCTTTGTCATTAACACTGAATCAATGTTTCAAAATTTACAGCATTTATGCGGCGAAAAATACATATAGGCAATAATAATTTCTACCACAACTTGATTTTTCCTGAAATGATTGTTGTTACAATGGCAAACTGTTGCACATGTTATTAATATAGACATTTTAATTACTCAATAAATGTGAAGCAATTAACGGGTATTATAAATTTTAAAAACTGTAACGAAACAAATTCGGGATTCGTGGTTAATAACAATTTAAGTCAAAATTGATATTTGGGATGCATACAGGGTGATTCAAAATTGGCGTCATTCCTCTGAAGGTGTTGTCTGGGGGTGTCTCGGGAGTACAGAAAAAATAGTAAAAGAAATTAATTGTTATAAAAAACTGAGAAATTTCCAATAAACTATATCAGAAGTACGGCAGCAATGCTTTTCAAGGTAATCTGCCTAATTAACATTGGGCAAATACCGGTTGCTTCGTAATTATTTAAAACTCCCGTAACCATGGAATTATACAGTGACAATAAGATAGACAA